GAGTGAATTCACTCACATCTGAAAGAAACTGATTAGCCTTCCGCAAAGCCACGAAGATCTGGCTGTTCAGGCAGGCTGGGGGGCTGTTGAAATAGCCAGCCCCACGGGAACTATGAATGTTGTGTATTTTAAATTGTTGTTTGTCTATTTGTCTATTTATCCCCTTCCTCTGTTTATTGTAAGCCGCCCGGAGTCCTTCGGGAGTGGGCGGCATACAAGACCAATAAAACTAAACTAAACTAAACTAATAAACCAAAGAAAGGTTAATAGCGAAGGTTGTTGCAGGCAAAACTGCCTTTCTCTTAGCTGTCAAAGAACCGAAAGAAATATTCATGCACACAACATACAACAACAGGCCACAAATCAAGTGAAGGGCTTACTCCTCTCTCTCCGCAGTACAAATTCAATTTCATCTTTCCAAACAAAACAAAACAGACCTGCAAGCCAATTTTGGATTGGCAAATTTCAACTCTTCTAGGTCTGATCCAACCATCTCCCTCTCTTAAGTCATAGCTACAAAGCACATGTGGAAAAAATATGATGTGGCTAAAGATACGTACAACTCCATTTTCTGCTCCAAATTCTTTGCATTAGATTATGTATCCAAAGACAGAGAAAGGCTTTTTAAAGATTGGGCCATCCAGCTATATAGTTAATATTACAGTCAGCTTTTACTCTGCATATGTCTGTTTTGCCAACTATCACATCTGTTATACTAATACAAGTGAACAAACTTACAATTTTAAACTTTTTTTGGGGGGGGGGGGAAGCTGGTAAAGCATGAAACAAAGTCCGCTTCCTTTCCCACTATAATTTGATTTCTCTGTTCCAAGAAAGACTGGTGGGAAGAGAAAGGGGGGAAACTACCCCAAAATTGGCTTTTGTGCATGCAGGCTAAAAGATGTAGCAATAAAGCTCTGATTTATGAGCATGTTTCCATGTAAAACAATAACCACAAATTTGCATACGTCAAGTTCAAATTGCCTCAAACCACACGAAAGTGCAAACTTCTAGCTCTATGTATTAAGACTCCAATGGCTATTTCCCCTTGCAATGTATCTAAAAGTTGGAAGGTCCCGAGAAATGTAGTCCCAGAGATAGTAAGTGGGTTTGGTTGCTTTTACAATATATAGTAGTAAGCCAGGTTGCTCAAACTGACAGAAAAAGCAAGGAAGGCACATATTGGGACACATATTGTATTATAATTTCTGAACTATACCATTGGAGATGCAATATTTATGTCATTACTTTTCCCCTCAAAGCATCCAAAACAGCCTACGAAACATAAGAAAATTAAATTGGATTCACAAATTGCACTTTGATGATTTGCCAACCTGGTGTTTGCTAATGAAGCCACAATTGATTGGATTCACATTACTAATCAGGAATAATCAGCAATCAACAATTTGTAGTATGGTGATTCATGTAGTGGACTAAAACTGAGGAGGTAAGGTTCAAGTTTATTTTTAATCATGGAAGGTCACAGAAGACTTTCGATCCTTCAAAAACGACCTCGAGGAGTCTGGGAGCACCGTTTCCAACTAACAAGTTCTAACAAGTTTATTCAAATCACAAAAGGTTACCCCTTTGGATGGATGTGTTCTGACCTAGGCTTCCCCAAAAAGCATGAGGCAGAGTCCTGGTCCTGACAAAATCCCTTTTATTAAATGAATGTGAATTCCTCTCATTCACATTCAGCCAAGGCCTGGCAAACAGTCTTTCAAAGGAATATTTATAACTACAGACCTTATCTATCTTGGAAAGCTGCCATGCAAATATTTTCCCAATGAGGTGGTGCGCTAGGAAAGACTGGGCACAGAGTCTATGATCTTCACACTCCCGAAACGAATCCAACGAACGAATGAACAAAGATTTTTTCCTGCAAAAGCCCACTCCCCTTTCACTCCTCTTTTATTTCCTATGGGAAGGGCCAATCACCTTCCACCAGTGACTTTATTCCCAAGTCTATCCTGATTTCCGAGTTGTTCTTTTCTTCTGGCAGCTCTGCGCATGAGCACACTGAGAACAGGTTCCAGCTGCTCCTCTGCTTCACCGCTGTCTAGCTCTGTAGGCACCTGATCACTGCCAGACGGCCTCAACCCCGTTTCTGCCTCCAATGTAGAGCCCTCGTCCGAGCCTTCCCCAGCCTCCAGGACTCCCCAACTTCCTCACTGTCCCACGCTGTTGCCAGCTCTGCTGGTGGGCCACAACTGGATGAATGACTGATTTTTGGCTATTTTAGACCATCATGGCTTTCTTTCTACATCCCCAATGAGAAGCTCCAAGTTTGGCCAATCATTGCCTTTTACCCCAACTCATCACAATGATAAAATAAATGAAGATCCTTTGGAAAGCTGCTTTAAGTTTCTGGAGAAAAGCCAGGCTATACATCTAACACATCCAACTCAAATCCCAATGTTCCTAAAAATTAGATAATTGAATCACTTGCCTCCGACGCCACATAAAATCGTACTTAATGGTAGCATTTAAAACCAATGTGGGGAAAAAGTTAGCAAGCCTGTTCAAGTATAGGTACGACAAATCCTGCAACCTAAAATCAGAGCAAATCAGATTTCTGACAAATTAAATGTATGAACAAAGTGCTACTGAGGATTTAAACAATCTGCTCCACCCAAAAGCTGAACTTTTTCCATTCTCAGGTTGAAAAGATGACATCACCAACATTTCAAGGCTAGTTTATTAATGTCTTTCAAATTGATTCTCAACTGAAAGGACAAATTTAAGAGGACATTCCTTTCTCTCTTGTAAGGCAAATATCTATATTTGTGGCAATTCTAAATTCACCGGAATTCCAGAAGAAGTCATTTCTATCTAGCAAGTCTACCTCTACCTTTTTTATTGTTCCTGTTCTCCATACCTTCAAAAGCTTTTAATTCAATTGGCCCTGAGTGCAGCAAAGCCGTAGAGTGCAGAACACTAATGAACACTGGGTTATATATATTTTGATGGATGGGTCAATAAAGCATTGATGCCAAGATTAAATTCAGTTCCCAAACACTGATGCAAGTGTGGCATGGCTAAAATGCCTTGGAATTTTGTCAAAGCATTGTGTATATGTGCACCCGCTTGGCAAGTAGGTGTTTACAGAACAAAACCTACTGTAGATGGGATCAATTCTAAGAAACTTTCATTATTTATCTGGTTATTTAAGAAACAGGTGTTCAAGTTTGTATTTACTCTAAAGCAATCCACCGAAGATGAGCGGGAATTAGTCACAAAACAGGCCATATGATCCTAGAGTTGGAAGAAAGCATTTAGACTATTTAATCCAAATTACTGCTGAGTGCAGGAAGCCAGATTAAAGCATCCATGACAGGTGGCTGTTTGGCTTCCCCCTGAGGACAAACAATGAAGGGAAGAGCAAAATTTTCCTAAATGTTTGTTTCAACAGATTGAACTGCTCTGACCTTTAGTTTTTTGTTTAAAAAAAAAATACATGGAACTGGAATCTGCTTTTAAGCAAATTCAATGATTTTGTGTCCTGCATCTGGGAACAATGATGTAAAAGTCTTGGGTACCACGAAGCACCAGCTCTATCTTTATTGTTGGTTTACATTAACAGAGTTCTCCAAGAATGAAAGAACCTATTTCTCCTCTTACCTTTACAGTCCACGAAACTAGAGAAGGTCTCTTTTGACATGCTCCTATTCCTTCTGCAGCCTTAGCTGTCTCTTAATTGATTTCTGCCTATCTGCCGCTCTTCCTCCTGTCTCTCAAAACCATTGTCACATACCATTACATTTTTCCCCAGGTATTTGAAGAGTGCTACCCTGTTTCCCCGAAAATAAGACCTCCCCAAATAATAAGCCCAATTAGGCTTTTGAGCACATGTGCTAAAATAAGCCCTCCCCAAAATATTGCAACACAGCAGCAGCCATGAGGTGACCACACTTGGCACCTCCTACACCTCAAAAATAATAAGACTTCCCCGAAAAATAAGGCCAAGCGTTTATTTTTTTTGGGGGGGGGGGTCAAAAGAAAATAAGACCCTGTCTTATTTTTGGGAAAATATGGCATTATATCCTCTTCCATGGCTACCTTTAAAAGGCTGAAGTTGCTCAGTTCTTTCAATTTTTCTTCCCAAAAGCTAGTTTCTAGCTTTCTGTTTATTCTCATTGCCCTTCTCTGAATCTGTTCCAATATGCCCAAATGCTCCTAACAACATTTACAATTGCTTTTATATTTCTATTTTATTACATTGTAAGCCACCCAGAGTCCCTTTGGGCAGTGAGATGGGTGGCATTTAAATTTAATAAATAGTGCAGATAAAAGGAAAATGGAAAGCAGCACCAAAAAGATGAATACCCTTATTTTTCTGTACCTTTGTTCTTGGTTTCGGCTTGGGCGTTTCTGTCTCAAGGGTCTTCAACAAGATTGGAGGAGATGACTTGCAACGGGCCTCCTATCAGGAAACATCAAAAGCAATTCATAAAAATATGTCCGGAGATACATCCTGAAGCAAGAACAGACTACCGGTTCACTTGACAGGCACTTGAGCTTCAAATACAGATGTGTATTTATTTATTTATTTATTTATTATATTTATATGCTGTCCTTTTCCCCCGAAGGGGACTCAGGGCAGCTCACAATTCAAATCAAGGAAAGGGAGTACAGACAAAAAAATAAAAACGAAACATAACAATGCATTAATTTAAAAACACACAACAGTCATAGCATTTGAGACGGGGGCAACAGCTCTTTAGCCCCAGGCCTGTCAGAACAGCCAGGTTTTAAGGTTTTTGCGGAAGGCCTGGAGGGTGGTGAGGGTTCGAATCTCCACGGGGAG